TATATATATTAGTGCTGTCAGAATTAGCACAATCTTCAATTGCACACACAAGTGCGGCGGCACGCGCTGTAGCCTGTATCATTTCATATCAAAGCTCGAAGTTACCAAAAAAGCAATTAAAGTTGCTTTAAAACTGCATGCAATTATTTTTTATATATGTGTCACATTTAAAGGTCCTCTGAAATGCTTAGAAACATGCAGCATTACTCTGTGTTGACGTAATTTTAACTGAAACAGGAAGACAGGGCGGGACATATCAAGCAGCCCAGCCCCATTTTAAAATGGCCAATAGTGTTAGTTTATATCACAGCTTGGGCTAGAGCTGTTGAGCTCCGTAAAGCCCGCGGCTTCAGCGTCTATTTTATAGTGTAGGGGGCGGGCGCTTCGGATTCTAGAGAGCATTTGATTGGACAGAAGGTTTGATGAGAAGCTGAAGTACGATGTGACGTCAAAAAAATCGTTGAGCCGTTTTGGCGGAAGTGACGAACTGCAAGCTTTGAATGCTTATATCTTCTAAATGCGAATTTTGTCACTGTTTTGGAGCACACTGCCTTATAGATAACCTTAAGACTAACATATTGATACTAACACCCAAAAACACTTTAATTTTGAGTTCATGGGGACTTTAAGAACATCTCTCTGAAATGCAGTGGTTTTCAAAACTGTCCTGGAGCAGCCCACCACTGTCTCCCTCATCTAACAAACCTGATTTAACTCCTCAGCTCATTAGAAGAGACTTTAAGACCTGAGGTGGGTCAGGAAAGGTAAAGAGTTATGAGAAAACGTGTCAGATCCATGTCATGTTCAGCAGCGGCAGCTCTTAAAGCAGCCAAAATAACCTAATAACCAGCTGCTGTGATTTCTGTTCATCAAAGAACAAAAGAAAAAAAATAGGAAATCAATAACTTTTGTAGCTTTAAGGATTTGTCTATATTTAATTTAGAATTTAGTGTTTGATAACTTCAATTTCTGTATATTTCCTTCTTGCTGAAGGGCACAGGTAGCTACATATGACATTTATTATAATGGGTTTATGCGAAGATTGATTTAAGTTCACTTAAATTAGAAGTTATAATTTTTTTAAGTCTAATAAATGTTCAAATTGATAGCTCTCAGTTATACTGTAATGTTGAATGTTGAAGGAAAAAAAATTAGCAATGTTGCTTTGGCAAGTAACAGAAATACTTGTATATAAATACTTACATTTTTTTAGATTTTCACTTTTCATTTTAATTTATTATTATTTATATAGCATTTATTAATATTTTTTAAGTGGATTTCATTTAAATAAATCTCATTTAAAATATGAATAAATACTATATAAATAATAATAATATAGAATAACACTGTTCACTCATTCTACGCATTTTCTGCTCATTTCAAACTAACTTTGTTGAGACTACCACAGAGGAATATTTAACCTAAGAACGAAAATTCTGTCATCATTTAGTCACATTATGTTGTTCCAAACCCGTGTACCTTTCTTTCTTCTGTGAAGCACAAAAGCATAACACACCAATATCTAAGTCATCATTGGCTGAAAATCACATTCCTGCTGCTTCATAATCTAAAATGGCAAGCAAAGACACATTTCAACAAGTTTAGAACAACATGAGAGTGAGCAAATAAGAGAAGTTTCATCATTTGGGTGAATTCTTCCACTTAGCTACTACCTGACCTGACAGAACAGATCATTTACACAACAATCAGTGGTTCTGAACTGCGACGGCAATGTAAAACGACATAAAGAGAGCCAGTGAGTAAATGCAGTGTGAGATCTGACATGAGAGTGTGAGAGTTTGAATCCTCATGACACACACACACACACAGCTCAGTGCTGTTCACACACGCACACGTCTCACATGCACAGACACGCGCTGTCACACAGAACAACTCTGGCTCACTCCACAAACCATCAAAGATCTCACCAACACCATTAAAAATCATCCTGCTGCGTTACTGCAGAGCTCAAATACGCTCACTGGCTGCATCCAGATGAAATACTAACGTACTTAAAAACGTACACCATATGTGCTTTTACATACATTGTTAATGTGCATATTTAATTTTCTGAGTGCATCTATCTTGGAAATAAATGCAATTATTTTATATTTTTAACGTGAAAGGTCTCTTCTGCTCACCAAGATTGCATTTATTCGATCAAAAATACAGTAAAAATATAGTAATATTGTGAAATATTATTACAACCGTTTTCTATGTGAATATATTGTAAAGTTTTATTTATTGCTGTGATCAAAGCTGAATTTTCAGCATCATTACTCGAGTCTTCAGCATCACACGATCCTTCAGAAATCATTCTGATATGTTGATTTGCAGCTCAAGAAACATTTCTCATAATTATCAGTGTTGAAAACAGTTGCGCTGCTTCATATTGAATGGAAACCGGAAATATTTTTCAGGATTCTTTGACGAATAGAGAATTCTAAAGAACAGCATTATTTGTCAAATAAATCTTTGTTTAACATTATAAATGTTTTGACTGTCACTTTTGATCAATTGTATGCATCCTTGCTGAATAAAATATTATTTTCTTTTTTTTTAAATTACTGACCCCAAACTTTGGAACGGTAGTGTACATACTGCAGAAATAGTAATAGTATGCTAGCCAGGTGAATAGTATGCTAGCCTCTTTCCGTGAAGAACTCACACATATGTGGCAAACGTTCAGTTTTTTCACATTCAGATCAGTTTCCTTTCACTTTGTAAAACAACCAGTCCAATTAATCCCTCACACCTGGTTTTTTCTATGTTCCATAGCAAAAAAAGGATGTCTTTGTAATCATCGAAATGAAAGAAAGACTTACTCCACCTCTGAAACAGCTTTCCTTTCTGCCCTGACATCATCAAGCTCTCTTAATTTTTCATCCCCTTCCCCCATCAGTCATAAAGAGACCACTTTTCACAATCCAACCACTTACTGATGGATTCAATCTTACTGAATCTCACATTTCACTCTTAAGTCACATTACAGGAGTTAAAATGAGTTGGAAATGCTTTTAGTGTTTAACAAAGGCATCACCAACCGAAGAGACGGTGTTGAACATGTAGCCACCCGTTGAGTCATGTCACATGTGCTCATGAATTTAACTGAAAAAGCCCAGAGCTGCAGCTCAGTTTGCATGTTGTGTTGAGCAGCTCTGTGTTTTTCACCGAAAAAACACCCACCAGGGACGTCATGCACCCAAAATTTTTTTTTTTTTTTTTTTTTTAGTGGGCCCCTTTGGCTTTCTTTTGTGAATTTTT